GCACACAGCAAGGGAAGCTAACTATGAAAGGGTCAAATGAAGCATTTTCTGGATAGCTAATCATGGATGTTCAACTGTAATTTTTATTTAACTGAAATGCAGCTCAGTGTGTATGTTCGTATTGTGGGTGCTGCCATCTTCTTTAGAGCGGAGGGGGCGTTTAACCCTTGCCACCCCATTATCAAGATTAAACGCAAAATAACACGTCCGCAGGCTAGGAAAGTAGGGGGAGAAGTTTGAGTCATTTGGCATTTAATGACAAATCCACCTGTTTTGCACTTTGCAACACAATAGGCGAACTGAAACACCAAAGCCTTCCTTCAAAATTTGCACTTTTGCAGTGGAGTTCTCTAGTCACATGATGTGTAAGTGGTTTAAATCATGCTGGCCACATGACCTGGAAAGCTGTCTGTGGACAAACGCCGGCTCCCTCGGCCTGAAAGCGAGATGAACGCTGCAACCCCATAGTCACCTTTGACTGGACTTAACCGTCCAGGGGTCCTTTACCTTTACAAATATGTGTAGTAGGGTAAAGTCTGCATGCTAAGCAGATTCTCTATCATTGAGTTATGGCCCTTTTCCTTCAGGAGCCACACAACAGTTGATCGTACCTGCTTCAATATGGCTACCTCTCGGTGTGTTTTACATTTGCACACCTGTTCAATATGTGTGTCAAAGATTTAAGTCCTCCGGGACAGACCTTTTCCTGCTCCAGTGTTTTATGCCCTAAATATTGATTGTTTTAGATTGTATTTGTGTTCTTTTCCCCCTCTCCCCCTTTTGTTTTGGCAGATTGAATTTTATTTATTTGTTTGTTTTAACAAAAGCAACAACCTTTTGAAAGAAAAATAAACCTTGTAACTGCATGTTTTCTAGACACTTTGTAAGAGTGCAAATCCACAGTGGAGGGAACAATTTGATTTTCACTACTTCTCTGACAGGAAGGATGTGTTGGAGATTGAGATCTGGGGAAAGGATAACAAAAAGCACGAAGAAGTTTTGGGAATGTAAGTTTCCCCCCTCTCTCTCTTTAAATATGTGTTTTGTGAAAGCCTTGAATATGAATGAAGTTGATGTGGGGAACAAAATGTGGATTAATCTCTCTTGCTCACTCGTTCACTCGCTCTCAGTGTATTTATTTATTTGTTGCGTTTTTATCCCACCTTTTCCTCCAAGAAGCTCAAAGTGGCATATGTGGTTCTCCCCTTCCTCATTTAACCCCCCCACAACAACCCTGTGAGGTAGGTCAGGTTGAGAGGCGGTGACTGGCCCAAGGTCACCCAGTGAGCTTCATGGCTGAGTAAGGATTTGAACCCTATCCCTACCTGAAGATATCAGTGATTGAACCTGGGACCTTCTGCTTATGAAACAGATTCTTTATTACTGAACTGCAACCCTGCAGTCTGCAAAGGATTACCATATTTCTCCGTGTATAACAAGATTTTTTGGCCCAAAAATAATGTCAAAAATTGGGGCTCGTCTTATTCACGGATAGTAGAATGTTGTGATGTGCGATTGGTTGTAGCTGGGAGCTGGAGCTGGAGATTGTCAGCGACGTTTGGGCGGTTGATTGGTGGCTGCAGTAAGGGTTGCTGATTGGCTGCCGCTGCGGCAATCGGGCGGCTGATTTGGGACTTTGGGACTGCTGACGGTGAGCTCATTCTGGTCAATCCCCCCCCCCAAAGAAGCAACTTCCCCTCATTTTCTTAATTTAGAGTCCCCCAAAATAGGGGGCGTGTTATACACAGGGGCATGTTATATATGGAAAAATACAGTACTCTTATTTAGAGGCTTATATATGTAGTGAGCCCAGCCATGGGGAATAAAATTTGCTTCTGCATAGCCCCATTCTCCCTTTGTCTGCTTCTTTGTCACTCTAGAATGTGATTCTGTGAACTGTACCACTTGCATTTGCATTTGCATGGGACACAATGACTGCTGTGTTGGGTGCGGTCAAAAACAGCTGGAGGTCCCAGGTTGTGGAAGAGGAATTGATGGTGTAACCACTCTGAGAATTGTACAGGGGCCTCCTAACAACTCTCCGCACCCGTAACAAACTACAACTCCCAGGATTCTTTGGGAGTTGACTGTTTAAAGTGGTATCGTAGTACTTTAAATGTATGGTGTGAATGTGGCCCATGCTGCATAACCAATTTAGAACACCCCACACCTTCTGTTTTAAAAGTGTATATCCCAGCACATGCATATCTGTGGGCAACTCGTGGCAGTCAACAATCCATGTATAATAAGCTATTTCCTGAATACCAAAAGAGCTGGGGTGGATCTACACACAGGGGGAAAATGCTATAAATAAGTCAGAAATTAAATTGTTATAACAAAAAACAAAACAAAAAAACAACGCTATGGAAAATCGCATAGAATATATTTTACTCTCCAGCGCCATCTGGTGTTGCATGCTTATAACACATTCAAAATGTGGTTCTTTGGGCTATTGTAGCTGAGTCCCTGGTCTATAGTATGTGGGGATTCTCCTGGATACATCTCTATCACTAGAGACCATGGTGACTTCAGTGTTTAGGAGTGCCTGTCAGCTGGTAAGATAGCTTTGGCTGCTTTTGGACAAGGGTAGCCTGACCTGCTAGCTCAAAATGCACAGGTGAACTATGACCGTCATGTTAAACTGCCACTGGAAATATTGCACTGGCTGCTAATGAGCTACCTAGCTGAGTTCAAGCTGTTGGTGCAGGTATACAAAGGCTATATAGCTTGGGACCAGGATACCTGAAAGATAGTCTCACCCCCTATATACCCAACTGATCACTGCACTCTGATGGCAAGGCCTTCTGCAGATGCCAACTTATCAGGAGGTCTGTTCCATACAATGTAGGAATCAGAGCTTCAGGAGTGTGGAACCTGCCCTTTGGAATTCCCTTTCCTTGAATATTAGACTGACGACACCATTTAGTGCCTGCTGAACACCTTCCTCTTCCAACAAACCTTTTAACTGGAGGTGTCTATCCCAGTTTGCATCTGTACTTCAAATTGTTTTTATATTTGTAATTGTTTGCATATACGGAATTGCTTTTACATATGGAGTTGTGTTTTTAGGCCATGTGTTTGCTGTGCAGTTACTTGTAGATATTTTATGGGACTCATAAATGAAATAAAATCAATAGTGAAATGAGCATAAATGTTTTTTAAAAAGCATTTACAAGATTTTCGGCATCAGCAAGACAAGGGTATGAAATAAATTTACGTAAAGTCAAGTTAAAATAAAAACTCTAATTATCTGTATGTTTTAATATCTTACCTTCCCCCCTCCCTTTCTCTCATTTAAAAAATATCAGTGTTTAATTACTTTGAAATGATTGTTTTTTCTATGCTTTTAGCTGTTTCTATTTCATCTGTAAGCTGCCTTGAGCCTCTGTCTGGGAAAAAGGCAGGGTATTAATAAGTATAAATGTAATAGTAATAGTAATAAACAACTAAATAGTTTAAGTGAAAGTTTAAACAAACAAGAGAGAGAAAGATGAAATCTCAAGTTTGGTGGCATCTGATATATTCCTGCTGATTGAAACCATCAGGTAAAGCAGGGTTAAATGCTGCTTTTCTCCAAGGCTGAAAGATTTTTGTACAGCCACTAACTATTCAAACCATCTGGGATCACTCAGACCACAGCCCAGACTTGATTGTACAGTTTTGCTAAGGAATTGCCAACAGAGTTCCCACCTGCACCGGTACAGCAGATCCCAAGCGAAACACATTTGCACGCTTAAAAAATAAGTGATTAAACTTTATGCGATCCAGTGGTATGAAAAGACTCAGTTAAGAAATGCGAACGCATATTGAGTTTTAATGTGGCAATCCAGCTGTTTAATTGCTTGTGTGTCTAATTGTTTACACAGCAGTTTATCTCAGTGCAATGCTACAATCCGTTCGCATCTCCCCCCGCCACCATGTGAGCATCAGATGGAATGCAAAGAACCCAGCAGTGATGGTTCCAAAATGGTCTCCCCCAAGGCGAGGGACTCGTAACTCTGCTGTAATGTCTACAACTGTTTACTGTATGAGTTGTTGTCCCCTATGTTACGTCTCCTCAGACCTCCTCTAGTGGCATGTCAGCCATGCAGATCAGGGGTTGGGATGCCGGAGAAATCTGAAGCAGTTTGCCTTTAAAGACAAGGCTCCCCAATTTGTACTTTTTGAAACCCAGATCTTTCATTTTATTTGCATTCATCTGAATTTTCAAATGTTGTTCTCCAGCAAAGTCATGTGTACAAAAATGCAGATACCGGGGTAAATTGTGTATAAAAATAGATATATCAGTTTTTTAAAAGGTACAAAAATGCATTACATTAGAGGAAACGGCTTTGCAAATGTGCATATTGAGCAAAATTTCATAGGAAAAAAGTGCACGTTAGGAGAAATTTGCACTAAAATGCAGATGAATTTTTCACGAGGACTTCTTTTTTAAAAAATTGCAAACTGATGTGAAAATGTGGAGAACTGCATTTAGGATGGGAAAATGAGAAATGGAGAGGAACTGAAATTGACAGATTTGCCTGTCTCTAGCACGGGCAAGATGATTTACAGAATTAAGAGGCAATCTGCATAATATGCAGTTCTAACAAAGAGGAAGGCGTGTCACTCTCACCTTGAAAAGCATTCATTGGGGAGGAAGTGTATTGATGAGATAATTGGCATCCTGGGAGGTTTGCCAGCCATTACTGATAAGCCTGCAGGGGTTTTCCAGGGGTGGGGAATCTCTGACCATCCATTCTAATGTCCATCAGCCCTGGCCATTGTGTACACTGGTTCAACCTGATGGAAGTTGGGGTCTATCAGCATCCAAAGGTCTACAAGTTCTCCACACCTGTTGTTTGTGATTGAAAGAAGTATTTAGTTGCCCAAGAAGACTTGGTTTCATGTCTCTGCTGACGAAACAAAACATAGGGAGCAGCCCAAGTCAGACCACCTAGTCTTCTCCAGCTGGCCAGGGCTCTCCAAGGTTTCAGACAGGGTTTGCTCCCAGTCCTACCTGAAAAGGTTGTGGATTGAAGCTGGGGTCCTTCTGCATGCTAAGCAGATGTTCTACCACTGAACTATGCACCTTCCCCAAGTATGCTCAAGTGCAGCCTTTTAAGAGCAAACTTTCAGTTTCTTGTGCAACTGGCAACCACTTCTGCAAAGACATAAGCCAGAGTCGCTTCATTCCCTTGGTTTAAGCACTTACCGAAAGCAAATGCTTCAAATGACTTGCAAGTGGATTGCTTTGCCTCTATTGTACGCCACCGTCTTTTCCACCTGGAATGATGTTAGCTTGAATGTTTTGGGGGGAAAGAGGGAGAGGTTTTGTGTGCCCACCTTTTCTCTCCAAAACTGGCTATTTAGAAGTAGACTCTGCAATTTAGAGCAGATGGCTGGCAGCCACTGTGGTTCTACAGCTGGAAAGGGATCAAACTGGAGTAATGTGTGCCCCATTTACCTAGAAGGAACCCAACTGGAGGGAACCTCTGAGGATTTTTTTTAAATGGCCATTAAGAAAACACCTAAACAAGTTTTTGTTTAAATGAAAACCTGTCGACAGGCCTTAAGCACCGAAAGGCTGTTCCAAAATCTTCCCGTCTCTGCCTGTGTTTGGAAACTCAATCCCACTACAACCCATGGCAGCAAAACTCTTCCTCTTTGAGTCCCTTTCAGTTGGAAGATGCAAATATTTGCTTAACGTCTTCCATAATAACTTTCATCTACAGAGCTTCTTGAAAAGTTTGCCCGATGTATTTCCGAGTAAAATGTATTTTAATGCTTTCACTCCAAGATTTTTCAAAGCGACAAGGATGCAAGTCCCTCCCTTCTCAATTCTTGAAAAATACTTAAATGTTTTTGTTGCCCTCCACTTTTTTCAAAAAAGTGTAAGACACATATACATTGGGGTAATGTAAGTTGAGTGGTTGATATTATCCGGCCTCACAAGGAATGTGCACATCATCTGCCCATAAAGAGGGAACTGGGCATATTTTCTGCTTAATATACATAATTCCAACAGGTCTTTGGGGACATGCATATGTTGACTGGAATATTACCCTAACATAAATCTTTAAAAAAATTTTTTGTGTGTAATGAAGAAGGTGTTGGAGACCCTTCTCTGGAACCCCCAACTATCTGAGCTTTTTTGATCTAACTCACTTTAAAGACAACTGTGCACATTGTAAGAAGTGTACAGTGGTACCTCAGGTTACATACACTTCAGGTTACAGACTCCGCTAACCCAGAAATAGTACCTCGGGTTAAGAACTTTGCTTCAGGATGAGAACAGGAATTGTGTTCCGGCGGCACGGCAGCAGCAGGAGGCCCCATTAGCTAAAGTGGTGCTTCAAGTTAAGAACAGTTTCATGTTAAGAACGGCGCTCCAGAATGAATTAAGTACTTAATCTGAGGTACCACTGTATAATGGGTGCGGTGTATAGTAATCTATAGTACTGTGCTGATGTTTTATCCTGTGATTTCCCCGACTATTCTTGCAGCAATTGACAAGAAAGAAATTGCATTCAGGAATTATCAAAGGGGAGAGAAAATGTTGGTGAAATTCTCACATGTGGAGTGCAGGGTTTCCCTCCCCAATTCGCCTTCCTTTTGTGGTTGCCAAGGTGCCTGGCCCATGCATTGCGGGGCAGATCCAAGATGGCAGCCAGCTGAAGGCTGATGAAGGAGCTTGAATATATCTGCCAATAAGGATTGAAGAATAGCCAAATGAATGAATCTAACCTACTGACTTGTCAAGGTCTTATTGCTCCTGACAATCCTCCTTTGATGGGGTGCGTTCAGAATTGAAATTAACTTTCCAGCAGAGTATCCATTCAGCCCTCCCAAGATTATGTTTAGATCAATCACCCTAACATTGAATGCAGTGGCCGGGGGGGTATTTGAGAGTGTCTGTTCTTTCATTCTGCAAAGTCGTCTCACCAATGATTTTCATCCTGCAGTCTCCCTGGGTGCTTGTGCTTCAGATGTACAGCTTAGGGTGGTGCTATTGTGAAATAACTCCTCCCATAGTGCTTCCCAGATCAGGAAGCATGGGCCACTGGGGAGGCTGGAGAAATGTTTACTGGTACGTAAACTCTTCTGCAGATGAAGGAAACTTGTGTGTTTGAAATTGGAGGACGGATTTCAGCACAGCACTAGTAAGACAGTCTGCATGTTTTCTGAAACGGCTGCTGCACATTAATTCCAACCCCTTTTGATTCTATTGTTTTTAGGTGTAAAGTTGATGTTAGTGCGCTCCCTGGAAAACAAGCCAACCATTTGGAATTGCCCTTGGAGAAACAGCCTGGATCCCTGTTGATGGTGATCTCTGTCATTCCCTGCTCAGGAGTCTCTATCTCTGATTTGTGCGTTTGCCCTCTGGGAGACCCCAGTGAGAGGAAACAACTTTTCCAGCGCTATGTGAGTTTGAAGGCCTCCATTTCTCCTTAAGGAAAAATCAAGTGTGTGTGTGTGTGTGTGTGTGTGTAGAAGGGAATTGTACCAGAAAATGACGTCAAAGCCCAGATCCTAATCACATGTCTGTTAATGGGGGAATGAAATGTATCTCACACTAAATATTATGGCTGGTGTGATTTAATCAATTGTCTGTACAGTTAGCCCCAAGCCATATGGGTGGTTTGCATTTGATAGTTCTCAAAACAGTAATTTCCTTTACTATTACAGAGCAGGAGAGAGAGAGACAGATCTTTCTCCATCTTCCCCAAATTTGTTTCAGGTCTGTTTTGCACTTCCGATGTGACAATTGGCTATCAGATCAAGTTTAGTTAATTACAGAATGAGAATGGGGAAACTTTCCCATCCAAATGTTATTCGACTCCAGTTCCCATCAGCCCAAGCCAGCAGGGCCAATGGTATGGGATAATGATGGGAGTTGCAGTCCGACAATATCTGAAGTGCCACATGTTGCTCATCGTCACACTAGAACACTGAACAGGAGCAGCCTGTGCCACTTAAGTAGGGTAGGTCACTGGTTTTAAATACATCCTCCTTGTGGGGAAAAGAGGGGCAGATATGTAGAAAGCATAGCCTTCTCGTTGACATGCTTGCTTTCTATATGCAGGGAGTTTTCCTTTCCTTTTTTTTCTTCCAATGTTAAGTTGTGGGTGAACATATCAGACGACACAGCGATTCTTCAAACAGCTCTTGTTTATTCACAGGCCAGAACAGAACTGAACTGAAGGGTTCAGTCAGCCTGCTTATATAGAGCTCCAGTACAATGTAATTGTAACAATTTTCTAAAACTATCCAATCAGTGAACGTCACTTTCGATCCCTTATTTGCATAACTATCTACGGTATCCCCCTGCTGGCCCAGGGTGAGAACTTCAGTACATAACATCCAACTAAGGGAAACATTCAAATATGAAATACTCCCAACCATCCCCTGCATTGCTGCAATCCAGGAAAATACCCTGGATTGTAAGAGTGAACACAGCTGGTTTTTGAAATCGGATTGACTCCCTGTGCCATCCTGGGACACAGCATATTTATAGATTCATTTAGATTCCATTCTTCAACATTTCAAGCAAGCATGGGACAGCCGTGCATTTTTCTGTGCACTTGTATGTGGTGGTGGGGAAAATGCCAGAAACTTTTAGAGTTCTGTGAACAATGTATGAAAAATAGGGTACAAAACAATCCAGAAATTTCCTTTCCAATCCAAGGAGGAGTTATAAATGACAGCTTTCTTTTTAAAAATGTTCCGTGCTATTGTGCTTTCCAGGCATTTATTTTTATGCAAATAGAAGGAATGCAATTTTAAAACAGCTATAGATATTCAACTGCAATGTTGTCATCACCATAAAATAAATTAGTCATGAGTTTATATTTCAGGGGACTTGGGAGGGCAAGGAAGAGCCTTGAGCAGATCATAATTAAATGATTTCTTATAGTTTACTTACAGAGCTGTTGTCTAAATCACTATTTGGCCTTGCAAAGAATTTGTTCTTTAAGAAAGGCATAATACAAATGTGTAAATAAAATAAATGTTTAAAAATATTTTAACTTCTTCTGACAATGTTTTCGTTGCAGTGCATAAGGAACTCTTTCCATAACATAAAGGATATTGGATTTTTGCAAGTAAAAGTATTAAAAGCTGCTGATCTGTTGGCTGCTGATTTTTCTGGTATGAAATATTGCTGATCTAGACTTTAGATTATTTCCCCCAACATGTTATAGTAGAAGTTCCCAGCATTGACCCCTTTTTTATCTTATGAAAAATAGAAAATACCAAAGAGAATACATATATGATAGTGGCATTTATTAAAAGTGTATGAGTCTTTCATATTTATTTATACAGCATGATCACATCTTACATGTGTTTAACTTGTGTGATTTCAAAGATACATGGTTGAAGGCAGGCTGGCTGAAATCATGCAAGTTAAATCCAAAAATCTCTTTTTGCTCTGGGTTCCTTTGGGGGTTACCTGGCATGCAGGAGTGCCAACTTGGCCCCACGACTGTGGGTACCTGGGGCTGTCGATGCCATGCATTATGCATGGCACTGGCACCAAAATTTGTGGGTGCCTGGCTCCTTCATGGGGAATTTTGTAGGAGTTCTGGCACCAAGGGCCCCAGGGAGTTGGCACCTATGCTAGCATGGAAATAGATTTTAAGCTCTCCACCTTGCTTGCTGGGCAAGAAGAAGAAGAGTTTGGATTTGATATCCCGCTTTATTACTACCCTAAGGAGTCTCAACGCGGCTAACAATCTCCTTTCCCTTCCTCCCCCTCAACAAACACTCTGTGAGGTGAGTGAGTCTGAGAGACTTCGGAGAAGTGTGACTAGCCCAAAGTCACCCAGCAGCTGCATGTGGAGGAGTGGGGACGTGAACCCGGTTCACCAGATTACGAGTATACTGCTCTTAACCACTGCACCACACTGGCTCTCAAAGTTTGCTTGGTGCATTGGCTGTGGAACTACTAAGGATTCTCTCTCTCTTCCCCTCACCTGCTAGCCATTGGGTTGCACCAAGGTTTGGGTACATGTGATTTTCATGCATATGCAGAACTCTTGGAACCGAACCCCCTTGTAAGATGTGATCATGCTGTACTTCAAACTTTTCTAAACTGCT